CTCAGAATCCTGAATCTGACAGGAGGTGCAGAAGGGCCTTTGTGCCTTTTGCACAATTTTCCTGGGTGTCACTGGCAAGGAGGAGGTCATCTACATACTGCAGGAGAGCGCAGCACGTGGCATCCCTCATAAAGCTGGCAAAGTCTGCAGCCGATGCCTCTCCAAAGAGAGTGGGTGAGCTCTTGAACTCTTGTGAAAGCCACGTCCATGTTAACTGCAGCTGCAGCCCCGTATCCAGTTCAGTCCATTCAAAGGCAAACAAAAGCTGGTTTTGGGGGACCAGCCAGAGGCAGAAAAAGGCATCTTTAAGTCTAGGCAAGTGAACCATTTGGCAGACTCTGGGATCTGGCTGAGGAGGGTGTACAGGTTTGGGATCACTGGGTGTAAAGAAACAGTCACTTTGTTAATGACTCGCAGGTCTTGAACAGGCTGGTCCTCTTCTGGCTTTTTGACTGGTAGAAGTGGGTGTCCCGGGTGATGCACACTAGATTAAAATTCCTGCCTGTCAGAGTCTGATCAGGTGTTCCTGGATGCCTGCTCTTGCCTCTTGTGAGAGGGGGTACTGCCGCTGTCTTTGTGGCTCCGAGAATAGTTGCAGTCATTTTACTGAAGGGGGCTCAGGGAGGGTGCAGAGTGTTCTGCCCCTGTGTCAACCATAAAATTCATGTTTTGGCCTCCCACTTTCATTTTTGACTGTGGGTTCATGAGGCTGAGTGCAAGAGAGCCCAGCCCTTGGCAATCTGTGTCTGTTCCTGCCAGGCCAGTGAGCCTTTCCCTGTGGGGCTCTTCCTGGTAGCGACCGGGCTTTAGGGCTTTGCCTCGGTTGGGGCATTCGTTCTTCCAATGCCCTTTCTCTTCACACTGGTCCCTGGCTAGGGGCATCCTAGGCTTCCCCCCTCTTGGCAGCCAGCTTTTCTCAGCCTTTTGGTCATCTCTCTCTTTCTTTTAGGGCAGCTTCCAGGAAGCTGGCCTTTTTCTTCATTTTTCTTTGAGCCTCTCTGCCTGAACTTCTCTGTTTGGATATACTTTGTAGGCAGTTTTAATCAGCTGAGTGATATTCATCCTGCCAAAGCCTTCAAGTTTTGGAGAGCTTTTTTTCTGATGTCTGAGGCTGCTTGAGCTATGAATGAGGTGTTGACCATTTATTGGCTCCTTGTGACTCAGAATTGAAGGGGGTGTAGATGCGATAAGCTTCACACAGTCTTTCATAATAGTCCCTAGGAGATTCTCCTGGTTGTTGAATGACTGAAGAAACTTTGGTCATGTTCATAGGTTTTTTGGACCCGACTTTGATCCCCTGAAGGAGGGCATCTTGATATCGGTAGATCTAGTGCTGTCCCTCAGGGGTGCTGAAGTCCCACTTGGGGTGCTCCTTGGGGACAGCAATTTCAGCCCATGCACCCTGACCGAGGACCCTGGCTGCCTCCTCTCTTCCATTGTGAACAGGGTGCAGAGAAGCTGTTAACAGTTTTTTTTAGGTCAGCTGATGGATTTGCAAGAGGGATTCTATGAGATCAACCAGGGTTTGTGGCTTTTCTGATGGGGTGTCAGTTGTGAAGAAGGGTTGATAGTAAAACATGGACTGGCTAGGCTGGATAGTCCCATATTTATTATATCTTTTAGGCTCCTGCATCTCTTGCACTGGCATCTGAAGGGCACCTGCTCCCAGCCGAGGGTGCAGTCTGGCTGCTGGTCCAGGGGAGAGTCGGTTCACTGGTTCTGGAGTTGGCAGGGAGGCTGACCACAGTGGGGTATCAGGGACCCCGGGGGCTGGGTGCTGATGGTCTTGGGGGCATATAAGGTGGGGGCAATATTAGCTCTTCTCCGGGTCACCAGCAAGAATCTGCGGAGGCTCAGGCTTCTGTTGATTCTTTGTAGGTTTCTTTGTTGAGGCGACTAAGACCCTACACTGTCCCTGCCTGTTACAAGTGAATTGCACCCAAGGGGGAAGGGTCTGGGCGATTCCTAACCATTAATATATGAGAACTGATCAGGATGACCTGGATCCCCAGTGATGACCCAGCAGACCTAGCAGACTGTTGGGACATGTAGGGCCCCTTCTGGAGGCCATCCCTGCACTAAAGGTGGGTTATTCAGATTCACACAGGGTTTTTAACCTGCTGGGAGTTAATTTTACTCTGTAGTCTCTTGAAACTCCCTCCCTGAAATTCTTGATCAGTGTCAAGGACTGTGCGTTTACTATGCCCTGACCCTGTGACGTGTTCCTGGACGGTGCCACAACAACAGACAAGGGAGGGCTGCCTCCTCTAGAGAGGAGACCAGTCAGATGCCCATCCATTCGCACTCCTCTCAGAGACTTTGATCAGCCTTGACTAAGGTGCACCCGTATAAGTCCCAGGCCAGGTCAGCTGAAGCTGAGTCACCGTTATGTCTTGGTGGCCGACCATGAATGCAGATGAGAGCCACACAGATTCTGTAGCGCAGGCCGTGGAATCACAGATTCAGGGCACACTGAATGACTTCAGCTGCCCTGCACACTCACTCACACACTCAGACCAGAGTTTAAACATTCCCTCCTGGGAATGTCTACTTGTGAGACTTCTAAGAAGTCTCCGGGAGGTGATCAGGCACCCCTTCCACCCCAACGGGTGGGACTGGCTGGGTCAGGTGCCCCAGGGCCTTACCGGATTAGACTTTGGAAACAGGTCCTCACTTGCCAAGCCTCCTTGAGTCCGGCGGTAACAGTGGAGCGGGTGACTGGGCAGGAGACTGCCGAAAGGTCACCTTCTCCCTTGCGATCTCCCCTTCCATCACCGCCCCGCTGTTACCCCAAACTGATGGCAACAAAGGGCCAGCGCAGTTGGGTTTCCCGATCAGGGAACCAAATGTTACAGAAAATACTGGACAGCCTGGACTGGATCACTGATGGAAAAACCAAGCAGCACTCGGAGGTCTGGAGGGTTGAGGCTTTATTTCACACTGGTGGGCTCAGATGGGAGTAATCTCCCAAAAGTCTGAGCCCGGAACAAAGGCAGAGGAAGCAATATGTACCTTTCTGCTTCTGTATCTGTAGCATTCCTACTTGCACAGCAAATGAGCAGGCAAGGGGGAGGCAGTTTAGGGAGTAAGTGCCTGGCAGAGCGGGGAGTGAAGGGGAGGGTGAAGTTAAGGGAGTTTCTGCTGTCTTCGCTAAGAAGAGCAGCAGAAGGGAGCCACCTGGACCAGACTTCTGTCCTTGTAAGTTTTTCCCTATCAAGGTCACTTAGGGTGGGGCCTTAGTTAGCTTCAGGATGAAGCTGGTTCCAAGAAAGACTGAGTGTTAGACCTCCTGAGCAACCCCTGGGGAAAAGGTCCAGTCTGTGCCAGAGAGTGGGCTCTATAAACTCCTGAACGGAGAGAATCAGAGAGCTTCTGGGTTGGTGAACACAGCAAATGCTGGGAGGACGGTGTGCCCCTGCATCCCTCCACTTCCTTGCCTATGCATCTCTTCCATTTTTGGTTGTCCTCTAGTTACATCTGTTATAAGAAACAGCCAAATGGGAGTAAACTGTTTTTCTTGAGTTCTGTGAGCCATTCTAGCAAATTATGGAACTTAAATGGGGAGTAGGGGGAATCCCCGATTTTAGGTTGGACAGAAGTAAGGTGACCTGGCATCTGAAGTGAGGGCAGTTTTGTGGGACTGAGCCCTTAATTAAACCTGTGGGGTCTGATAACTGGGTGTCAGTGTCAGAACCAAAATGAATAAGGACCCATCTGGTGTGGAGAGAATCAGAGATTTAGTTGTTGGTGTCAGAAAACACCCTAGAAATACACTACCAGGGTAACACTGAAGTTCATTTTCAAATGTCTGAATGGGTTTACACATGCTTCAATATTGGAGTAGCAATGTTAGTGTCAGAGCCAAAGAAACCACAATTCTGAATAAAAGAATTTTATTTAGTGGTCAGATCCAAATGAATAATGCCAATCATTGCTTGATTCTGCTAAAATGTGCTATTAGATACACTCTTAAGAAAGTGTATAGTGCATCACCAAAAGCTGTTTAATTTGGATTTAGAGTTAACAAAAACTTCGTAAATCTTTGTTCTCTGATAAAAATTTTAAAATATAAAAATGAAAAAAAAAAAAACCCCAGAAGCAGTATTCAAAAATAATAAATGTCATCTTGGACTATTTACAATAAGATGCCTTTTTAATAGGAAAATGTTCTTGATTCTTTTCCTCACATTTTACTTTATCACTTATAGGTAATCTCACCCACCATCTAATCCTTATTTATGATTTCTTACATCCCTGTCTTGCTTGAAACAGTCATGTATTCTGTCTTCCTCATCTCTGAGTCTTTCTGACACTCCTTTTTTCTACTCTTAATTCACCATAATCCTATTCTACAGACATTTGTTGAGCACTTATTATGTGCCAGGCACTGTGCTAGGAGGTGAAGAGAAATACAAAGATAAGTCATTGACCCCTCTCCTCAAGAAGCTGAGTTTGGGTTGAATTAAGAAACAATGTTTTTCACATTATATTCAATGAAATCTCAGGCCCCTGTGAAGTAAATTTGGGAACTTCTCAAAACAAAGTGCATTCATGGAGGGTCTATCAACTTGGCCCACTCCCAACACGTTTGGAATTTAGAATTGCACACTTAAGCATGAGCCCAGGCCTGCAGATTGAGTTCTAAACTCTTAGCAGGTGGTAACTACATGCTGGGCAGGAGAGGACCAGCTGAGACCATTTATTTTAAGGGGAGGGCAATCTTTCATTTGACTTCTACAAATCCCAAGTATGAAAAGCCCTTAAAAAAAAAAACACACACCAAAAACCAACTAAGTTTGAGCTATAGATTTATATTAAGAAACTCTCCCCTGATTTGGACTTGTCACAAGATGCTCTAAAACTCTCTTATAAATGTCCAGCAGGAGCTCTTTTTATTACCTCCACACAGCATTGTGCTTCTTTGTGAACATTTTCTTAGCTTCAAACATAAAAGCAGCAAATTAAGCCTTCAAGTCACCTTTTTTTTTCTTTTATCATGGTTGAGTTGAAAACGAGCTCAGCTCTTTTATTTGGCCTACATCTTTTTAACTCATGAGGCCTTGAGAGACCCCTAATAGTTCACTGCGTGAAGTTAAAAAAGCAAGCAAGCCATGAAATATAAAACAAAAACTGTACATAGCATACTATGGAGGCAAAAACAAACCTACAGCCTCACTGCCTGCATCTTGTTCCATACGTGGCAGACCAGGTCCCTACAAATACCCAAAGGGGAGTCCGGGTCCTGGCAGCGGGCTTCACTCTCACAGCCTGCAGCGAGTTCCTGTCACCAAGCCCACACAGCCAGCCACTGAGTGACAGTGAAGGGGGTTTTTGTGGGCAGCTCTGTCCTTACTGCCATGCCTGAGCATAGGGTACACAGGCTCACATCTCCATGCAGTTTCCATCCCAGTAGAGGATACTCTATCCATTCAAGACTATTGGAGCCAGATTCAGAACTTCTTCAGCAGCGGGTTCCAAGCCCTTTGGGTCAGAAGGCCACTTTGGGAGTTGGCATTACCCCTGTGTGACATTGTCCCGCCCCACTCTGTGGTAGATGGTCACCATATCTGCAGCAGGTGAAGAGAATGAGAAGAGCAGGGAGTACTGGGAGAAAGAGAGGTGATCACGCACAAGGTGCTTGCTCTATCGTGCATATATTTTCATTGCAACTGCGTATGTTTTGACACATAAGGGCTTGTGCTTTTTCATTAAAAAACTAACTCACCCTGTAAAGTTCATTTGGCAAATGTGGCCATGAACATGTGCGTGCGTGTGCGTGTGCGTGTAAAATGTGTCGTGAGGTTGTGTCAAGTCCTGTAGGTGTGTCCTCCTGGCCCCTGCCCCACTGTCACACCCACCTCACTGGCAAGTAAAACAGGTAGGTTACACCTGGTCGGTTTGGTATTCAGAAGCTTCAGATAGGCTTTCTGAGAAGCTTAGGAAGTTCTCCTGGTACTCGGAACAGACAATCTCATAACGGTAATGCCGGAACTCCACGGCAAAGGTGCCGAAGTAAGACAAGAAGCACATGACCAGGCCCCACTGGACCCTGGCTGCATACATGTGGATGCCTTGGGCCATAAGGATGAAGTCTGGGGAGGAGCAGTCAAGGAAAGTACCCACATTGGCCATGTTAAAATTGGGCTCTTCTGGGCAGAGACAGGTTACAGGCAAAGTCTACACGTCCCCCGCACTAGCAGCAAATCTTAGTTTGACAGAGCTTACCAGACACAAACATCTGTGTACATGAATAATACTAGATAACATTATTAAACTCTTACTTTGTGACAGACATGCTTCTAGGTGCTTTCAGAAAAAATCTTATTCCTCACAACAAATCTATTATCATCAGTTCATAAAAAATAGAGAAACTGAGGCCAAGTGGGAAGTAACTTGCCTGATGTCACATGGGCGTGCTGTAGCTGGGATTCAAAGATAAGCACTCTGACCCCCAGGCCATGCATTCATCATATTCTGTGGTCACCTAATAAACTGTGAGATTAGCAAGAGGATTACGATTCCAAAATAATTAGTTGGCCAAGAAAATTATTTTAAACTCTTTTTAAAATTACTGAAAATTATAATGGATTCATAGTCATCTTCTATCTGCAGAAACAATTTTGAACATATCAAATTGCTAACTATCACCATGTAAATAAGCTTTGCTTGTCTCAGCAGTGCTACTAACACTAAGTGGCCCCTCTTCCTCTTCTGTCTAGTTTTCACTATTGACTTTCAGACAATACTGTATAGTCTAATTTCATTCTTGGTGTCACATTTAAACTTGTGCCCAAATGAAAACATAGACATGAAAACAATAGATGAGAGACTCCTGTGTGTGTGTGTGTGTGTGTGTCTTTATTTATATATATATATATATATATATATATATATATAGAGAGAGAGAGAGAGAGAGAGAGAGAGAGAGAGAGAGAGGCTATATATGCACACAAACCCACATATATATACCAGTAAATGCGTAGGGAATATGAAAGGCTCACTGCATAGTTCAATGAAAGGCCAAGAGGCCAAGGGCAATATACATTTTAAAAAATCAAAATGCTCGTTAGAATTAGTTCTATCTTCAGAACTTTAACTGAAAATTTTGGGAGACTTTCAGGGAACAAAGGAGTGTGTGCAACCACTTCAGCCAAACTTTGTTTTCCTGACTAGACCTGGATCCATTTACCTGGGAATGAAGAAATGGTTCCAAGTGTTTAGAAACAACATGGATCAGAATTTTTTGGTATATGCTCAAAACTCAGGATAATTTAGTCTGCACATACCCTTCTGAGGGGTCAAAATATTACCAAAGAAATATTACTTAATAGAGAAGGGATAAATCTTCAAATCGCATACTGGCAGAGTTCTGACAATTTTGTTCATAAAATATTTTATCAGGTTGCTATCTAAAAAGTTTTTTTGGCTTGGTTTTCAAGTCCTCAAGCGTTCTCTTAAGTGAATGCAGAACTTCCAAAAACCAGTAAAATGACTGAATGGCAGTTTGTAAGGGAAGAATAAAGGATTCCAAATAGTCCACTAACTAGAGAACATCTCTCACGCTAAATGTTTCCATATTTTAAACCCATTTTCTCTGCGGGGAGATGGTGTAGTGGCTAAGAGTCCAAGAACTGTGCCTGGGTTTAAATCAAGATCCCCACAGAGTGCGATCTTGGGTAAGTTAGCCTGTACTTCACCATTTTTTCCTGTTGAATGAGGACTGAAGTGATACATTTAAAGTACTTAGAGTACTCCTAGCACACTCTAAGTGCCCAATAAACGTGCTATTATACGACGTAGGATGTGTGATTGTGTTTGCTGTACAGCTGCCGCTAGGAACCTTACTCTCTTCTCTGGTTTCCTGAGGAGGACCAATTGGAGTGAACACTAAGGTCACGCCCCACGGCATAAGGGACTGCTCTGATTGGTGGGATCAGAACTGGCTGGCTTCCATTGGGCCATGCTACCAGTAGGTGGAATCACCATGCTCATCCTAGGTTTGTCTCTGGGATCTGTCTGGAGTTAAGCTAAATGAAACACTTTCGTCTTCCTTTCCCTGGTTTCTCTGTTTATTACTGGGTAGGTGAGTTAAATTCCAGGGTGTGAAATAGGCCTGCGGCTTTCTCCTTCCCAAGTTTACCAGGAATGAAGTCTGATTTCTCCACCCTCATCTGGCTCCTTGTGTCTGTTCCCACTGGTTCAAAGTCTGAGGGAGGACAGGAGATGACTAGCACCTCAAAATCTCAAATATTCGGAACAACTATACGTGCAGTGGTATACTAGTTCTTGAACTTGTTTTCTAGAAAAATCATTTTCCTGAAAGATATAAACGTATTTGTTCCTTCATTTTACAGTTAATGAAAGAACAGGGCCATTAATAGTCACAAATGGGAAAAAAAATTAAGATGGAGGGCGGTAAAAACCACAATTCCCTTTTGATATGCATTCTATGTTTTCCTAAAGAGAAATTTTACATCATTAGTAATCAGGAGAATTTGTTACGCCATTCCTACACACAGATGCAATCGTGGCGGCAGAGTTTGTTTCATTTTTAGTTCTCCATCTCCTCTTTGGCATGAAAAATAGGTCTGAGAGTTTTTGTTTTTATATGCATTTACTTTTCCATTTTGTCTAAAATTCTGAGATGATCCGACAGTACATCCTAACCAATTGGGAATGGCAATTTTCTCATCTCCTACATGAACAAGCTATCTGTATTTCAGCTCGCTGGCAAAGAGCCTTTTCACCCTCAAAGGATACAGAGGACCACACAGAGAGTGATGGATGCTGAGAGAATAACTCGTGGAATTCCAACTTTCCTTCCTTCATTCTTGATGTTGACTTTGAGGGTCAGTGCAGCCTGGATCCAGCAGGTCAAGGTGCCAAATCCAAAGGTCAAGGAAGTTCCAACATTATGGATTTCTTCGTCATTCGCAAGCTAAGGGATGAACAGATAATGACGTGTGGAGGCACATTTAGAAAAGACATTAGGAGCCAATGGAATAGTGAGGGAGAAAAAGTAGATGAAGTGATGTCCCAATAATGGGATGATAGATTTTAGAAAGACTGGAGTCCTTCATCTCCACTGGGTCTTTGTGTCTGTTCTCTATTGGTTTGAACTCTGAGGGCAAGAAAGGAAAAAAAAACATACCAAAGCCTCAGAACATTTGTTCAGAAAAATCATACAGGCAGTGGTGATCTATTCCTTTTACTTATTTTCCAGAAATGCTTTGTGGAAAAATTAAAAGAAAAAAGCAGGAGAGTTACACACCAAAGAGAGTTGTCAAAGTTTCTACAATTCTACAAACATACACCCCAAACGGTTTTTCAGACTAAAAAATGAAATGTGGGATCTGGCTGTATATATACTAATTGAGGAGGACCAGTTCTAAGCTGGTCAACATTTTATTGACATAGATAACTAGATATCTTCTATAAAACTGGCCTGCTTAATGTAATGTGACGAATTCACTGTTAATGGGATTTTTTTTTCTATTATAATAAGACAACTGCCATCTATGAGCTTTTGCAGTATCTGTAGACCAATTACAGGACATGTGTTTGAAGATTCCCGGTCAAGGTTTTTATAGAGTTAATAGGTTAAAGGAGACCCACTTGGGTTATTTCAATTGGGGGTTAGAGATGTAAACTGCCCAAATTATTATCCACTGCTTTTAAAAATATATCTGCCAGTTAAAACACCTTTAATAATAATTACATATAGTTAGTTCCATATAGGAAAACAAAATCTATTGTTGAAGAGATGGCTTTTAAAACATGGTGAAAACATTTTTTTTGGAATTGCATTGCTTTCAGATATTTTGTTTGACATTGTTGTGAATAATAGTTGTATCAAATAAATTTTTCTTCTGAATTTTACAATTTTTTCTATTCCTTTAGGCTGTAAGATTTTTTCCACTTCTTTAGAAAAAGCCACTTTTTCCCCCTCATAGTTCACAAGGCATATATTCAAAACTTATTTTAAATAATGATTCCTCAAATCCAAGTTTACTTCTAGGAAATTGGTTTTCCCGGCTGTACACAGTCCATTTATTATTTTTAACCTAATTTAAAAAATAGATAATACAGTTACATGGCTCAAACTTTAAAAAATGATAAAAGGAGTATATATCGAAAAGTTTGTCTCCCATTCCATATATTAGCACCCTAGTTTTGCCATAGGCAACTAATTTGTTATTTGTTTCCTGTGTATTCTCTGTAGATATTCCAGAAATTGTTGTTCATATGTAGTGTGATCATTCATGGTTTTGAACATTTGGTTCACCAAAACAACCCAATCTCTGGGATTCTTCTAGGACTTTGAAGTAAAGAACAAAATGTCTACTCAGTAATGCCCATCCAGGCCCTGGTGGAGAGAAACAACAGTTGTTGAATACTTGATAACATGCCAGCATCTGCAGCACAGACAGGCCAGGCGGGGGAGACTCCCACCAAAATTGCAATAAAAAAAGGAGCATTTTAGATTTTAACAGGATAAACTCTCAAACATTCTGATAATTCACTGTCTTAGAAAATGTGTTCTAAGAAAGCAGCTTTCTTATTGTTCTAGCTTGATATGGGAGGAGCCCTAGCATAGAGGAATTGGTGAGATTGCCTACCTGTAAATAATCCAACAAGTCAAAAATTCTTGTTGAGTTGCTACTATGTGCCAGGGAAAGTCCTAGGAAATCAGTTATCCTGGTTAAATGAATTATCAGGACTGAGGGGTAGGACAAGCACCAGTCTTAGAAAATCCATTACCACATTTCCTTGAGTGCCTATGCCATTTGGATTTTACTCAACAGGGAAAGAAGTATCAGGTTGGGTGTTTGACTGCAAGGAGGAAGTTTTTAGCAGCAGCGTATAGCATAGGTTGGAGGATGCCAGGGAGGGAATGGAGGCAGGGAAATCTGACAACTATTGTAACAGTGCAGGGGTCCCCTTGCCTTTTTTACTAATAAAGTTGTTCCAGTGAAGATGCGGGTGAATTATTCTTAAATACTATTGAGACAGGGACCGTGGGTGTAGTCAGAGTAAGGTGAAGGCCTCTGGAGAGAGATCCCTACCAAAACTCCCAGTCAGAGTCACATTAATTCTCTAAAGTAAAATATCAAACTAGGAATATAAGCATTCTTCAGTGAGATTAGTTAAGACTAAAAAGTCAGGAATAACGGCCTGTTTGAACATTCCCCAGATAAGAAAATACCTCAGCACAGCCCATGTCTTCGTTGTGTCAATTAAATGAGGCTATTATAAAATTTACTTTAGCCTGCTAGAAGGCCCAGCTTATCTTCTTTAACTTTGCCCAGATGCTGCTTTTCCTCCTCCAGCCTCTAATCAAGTAATAGATAACCCGGGCAATTAATATGGCAAGCAAGCCCAGTCACAAACAACATAGTAAAAACAAGAAAGATTCCATCTTGAAGGTAAGCTTGCATTTTAAAACCCAAAAAGAAAAAAATAGGTTTCTTAACATAACAGACAATAACCCAGCCCACCTTGGGACCCAGACAGTCAGTCTTGATTAATATGCTCCCAAACCAAGAAGCTGCTATTCTGAGCAAGAATCAGAACAGTAAATTTCTTGTGTTAACTCTGCAAAATAATCCAGAAGACTGATAAGAAACTTAGTGTCTCTTCAAAGATAAACATTTAGAGACCATTTAGTGGGTCTGAATACCTAGTCCTTTTCTCTCAACCGCCTATAAATCCACCACCATGGGCTCTCTTGTCCCCTCCTGGCTTGAGCCAGGAGCTCTGTCCTCTCACTGTATCTCTCAATAAAAGCCTCTCCCTGGCTCTCCTACCTTGGGTGTGTGCTAAGTTCATTCTTTGACTCCGCAAACAAGAACCCCGGCATCACTATGACCTTGGGCTTCTAAATTTCTGGGAAGAAGAGTTAGTGTTGTATATCTTTATACAAGTCATAGGTGTTCTAGAGAAGCTCTGAATTCTCAAACTTGACTCCTATGTGAGCTTGCTTATCTGAAATGCAAGCTTTCATCCAGAAGGGATGTTCAGTGATTAATTACAGAAAGGCAATGATCCTATTAGTTTGCCAGAAAGAATATAATTTCTTATGTAAAAATATATAAAGCAGTTTGAAATCCTTTGTAGAAAATATACAGCTATTTAGTAGCTGGTTTTCCTAATAGCCATGCTGTATTTTCAATGTATAATCAAGACCCTCACATGTGCAATGGGAATTAGGTAGGAAGGGCAGAGTGCTGAAGAACCTGTGTGTCAGTTAAATGAGGGACCACTATTAACATATTTTTTTTTAAGACTCATGCAGAATCTTATGGCCATACAGTGACTCTACCTCAGTGGCTGTGACAGTCATATAGGTGCAGTGAGATGGAGGTGAAAAAGGCCAAATGGAAGTACCTGAAAATTACCAAGTAAGGTCATCCCAAAGGATGCGAGACACAGCGCCACCAATCCACTAATGTTCAGCCATGGATTTAAAACCTTTGGTTTCAGTTGTATGAAGCGCAGAACAGCTACCACAAGAGCTGGGGATACAATAAAATATTAAAATTTAACAATATAACTCATATATCCAGACTATGAGGCAGAGTTCTAAAGCCACAGTGTACAAAAGTAAACTTTTTGCCATAGTACATTTTTCAATCTCTGAAGTGACAATTTTTTAAAGAAATTTTCTATGTGATGTTCATGATTCCTTCGAGGTTTTGTTATCCCAGCTAAGGAGGAAGCTAGAGTAGCTGATACAGGGCTGTTCTGTGTTATTTGGGTGATGCAAAGAAAATGGAGCTGCTGACAGTGTTGTTCTCAGAGTTTTCAAAATCAAGGTCAGCACAGGACAGACTGGCTTGTGAGAGCATGGACAGAGCAGAGGCCTGACACCTGACAACTAAGATGGGGATAAAGTCAGTCCATGGCACAGGGATTCCTGGGTTCAACCATCCTTTAGTTGAGAATGTTAACAGGGCAGGAACACAGGGAAGAAGACGAGGCTCCACATTTAGACAAACCTGCTGGTCCCTGTGCCAGCAATCATTCCTGGGGACAGGAAGGAAGACAAAGATAAGGGTAAGAATCACTTTATTACTGGTTTACTCCATTGATTCTACTCTGGAGGTGACCATTGTCAAAGGACAAAGATAAGTCTAAAGAGCAGTTACAGTAATCAAATTATGAAATCTGGATTTTAATGCAGAAGATTTGGGGGTTTGGCATGTACTAAAAATCATACTAATCATATTAAATGAAAGAATCTGGACCTGAGTACCGCCTTTTCGAATAAGCCCACTCACCATCTCAGAGAGACCTAGGTGTCATCTTACCTAGGCTATAAGCATCCTTCAGAGGACATGTCAGCAAGCCACAAGCCCACCTTTCCCCTGACCCCTCCCCTCAAAGAGCCCACCAAAGCCCTGGCCATACAAAGCCTCTTGACCTGTTAAAACCCTCTTTCCTTCTTTCTGCTGGCCAGGACAGAGGGGTCCCCCTCAGGTTCAGCAATAAACCTGCTTGGACTGTTGAGTTCGCATTCCCTCTCTTCTTTCATTAAGAAAGCTTAATTCTTCCAAATAATGCCAATTACTTATTTCAAAAAACCACTCTTTCTAATAAAATTGCTATCACATAATCTGAATGAAGGAAGTTACCTAGATTTCAAACCTGACTTCTAAATAGTAACCTTGAGGACAGTCTGTACTCAAGCCACTAATGTAAGAATCCCCTTTTGTTAAATGCTTAGTGCAGGGATATTTTCATATTTATACAAAAAGTTGGGAGAGGTGAGTCTACGAGTGATGAAAAAAGCACCTGGTTAATATGAATTCTATCTACCTGAAAGGAAATTCACTTAATGCTTCCTAAGACAATTTATTTTGACATTAAGGCTTAGCCAGGACCATAATTAGAAATTCAAGAGCTACTCTATTGAAATAGCAATTAAATAGGTAATTGTTGGCTAAAGGTTTTACCTTGTTTACAGGCCCTGCATTATTGGTAGCCATTAACAGAGAACCCACCCATAAATCTGCCATTTCCCAAGTATGCTGAATTTCATAGTTTCAGGCTATAAAGTTAAGCTCAATGAGCTGACTTTCAGTCCCAATACCTCTATCAAAGAGTGGTTACAGCTTGGTTAATATGTGGGTTTCAGAAACCAAATAGAAATAAGCCACAGTTTATGAAATCTCAAGTTGTTCATCTCTGATTAAGCTTTTAGTATGTTTATGTTTCAGCTAATGCCCACTCTCGATTGTAAAAGTAATAAATTCTACATGAGTGGACAATAGTTTCCCAATCTAACGGTTCGAGGGGCCTAGTTAAAAGTTGTATCAGAAGTCTATTACTAATGACAAAAACTGTCCTGGAGGATGAAACAACAAGCACAATTTATTAATTTTCAGGATAGGAATAGGAGGAGGAAGCGGGGACAGATCCAACATAAGCACTCTGACCCGAGAGATCCTCAGAGAGAAGAGCCATTAGATTAAGACCAGAAAGTCTATGCAGCACCATGGGGGACACTTGGTAATTAATTGTATATGGATATTAGTGAGGATATGACAAACTACCAAGACAGCACATTTTGTTTCTTTTAAAAATGACTCATGAAGACTACTACTCTGGGAACTCTGGTTTTCATTCGTTTGCAGGGAGAGGATTGTGTTGAAACTTTGGCCTGAGGCCTAAACCTCTGCCCAAGCCATTTCTGAAAGAGCTCTTCCCATTGACCCATCCCGGGCTTTGGTGCACAATACCCAGAGGATGAGGGTCAACGGTCTCTGTGTTACTCATTTCCTCCCAGTAAACATGGGCATGTATCAGCTCCTGGTCCCAGCACTGCTGAAATTCCCATTTGTAATATGGATGACAAATCATTTTATCACGAACAGATGATGAAATTAAGCAGGAAACAGAAACCTACTTAGAGACTGGAATGCAACCCAACACTCCTAACTTCCAGACTTGCATTCCAAACACCACATTTTGCCCTCTTTACCTAGTAACTCCATTGTTAATCAACTCAAATTAGGCACACTTCCCTTTTGAAATAGATTCTAGTTGAATTTTTAGGGTGATGGAAACAATGAAGACTCTGGTCCTTTAACAGGTTTAAATGGAAGCAGATTCAGACTATCTGTTATGAAATCCATTTTCAAGAAGCAAGTAGTGATTTAATTATACATGCTTGAAAAAGACTCTGGGCCATAGGGGAATTTCACAGCCATCTTCATATATACCAACCAATTTTTACCATATTGATATTCCAGTCAATAGATATACTTTTTAGGTTCATTAAACATTTTAGATTTTATTAACAGTTTTAGAAAAGATTTTTAAAGTCCACCCTTCTGTTTTTGGTATAGTTAGAACAGTCCTTTGCTATACAGATGTCCTCTGTTAAGCTATATTAAAAGAGCATAAATATTAGAATAATTGCCTATTTTCTTTACTGAATTTTGAATTTTGAGGCTGACTGGGTTTTTAAAGTTCAAACTCAAAAGAGCAGCTCTTCATTGCAGCTCTAAACTGGTGCCTGGATGAATTCATTTTGTTTTGTTTAGTTTTATTGTTTATGCATCACTAATTCCTGTTTATGACTGCAGTAGAACATAATAATCAATATGTTTTGGCTGAAGGAGGGAGACCAGCTGCCATTAGGTGACTGAAATCATTCAGCGCTTAGCTTTAGTCTCACAATCTCTCCAGGGCAGAAAATAACATTCCTTTCAAGAAATTTGTCTTAGGTCTTTTTTTTTTTACCCTAGGAGAAACAAAAGTGTGGATTCAGGGCAGAGAGCATAACTAATTCTGCAAAGAAAATAATTGAGCATTTGAACTTTCATTAACTCATTGAAAAGATAAAAGATCTTTGCTAACTAATTTTAATCAGTACTACACTGATTCATTTGTAGATTGTAAATCAGAATCTATATGGCTGCCACAAAGCAATGACTTAGGGGCAGTCCGTGTTGTTCCTTAAAGTCAGTCATGTCATCTTAAGTAATAATCTGAGGTCTAACAGGGACAGGCCTGGGGAAATTAAAGCATCCATAGTTTAGAGAAAGATCATTAGCAAACTGATTCTTTTTCACTCCCAGAGTTGATAAATAAATAATTGTTGGTTTACTCCGACTGAACATTAATTTCAATCAGTTTTGCATCTACCAGATGGCACTAAAAATGATGAAAGATAATAAAGACTAAACACAGGATGCTGCAATACCTTATAGCAAGAGCTAGGAAAAGCTCACTGCTTCGTGTGGGGCAGGAGAGGACTGGAGGGTCAGATGATGACAGATGTCATCTGGAAGAGGGGAACTTGTTTTCATTACTTTGTTTTTGGAAATGCTTTTATAATTAGTTAATCATAAGCTTTTTAACTGGATAACTTTGTGAGCTATGCAAATTGGTGTTTTTTAGATTACACAGTAAAGACTACTGGTAAATATCAATTGTCTTAACAATATAAAGAAAACAACATGTGTCTTCCAATATGGTCATTGGTTTCTCCAACGGAGGACAGATGGCTTGTGACAGCTTTTTAATAAGGGCAGTCTCCGGTGTATGGTGATTAGGTGAGGAAGTATGTGTAAAGCACTTAGCATTGTGCCTGGAATATAAATGATTGCTATTAATTACTGTTGTTACTTCACCCTTTGGGGATGAGCATATGAAAAAGTGACACTAAACTGCAGGCCTACGTGGTGTGACTGCAGAGGGGCTAGGAAAGTTCCCTGACCCTGCAATTCAAGATTCATTCTCAGGGTTTAGTGCCCTGTGAAATGCAGATCTCTCCTTAGCAGCCATTTATATCTTGGTATGAATAAGCTTATTAGATCTTTTCAGAAGAGTGGTGTCAAGAGCAGACAACAAGAATGAGCATTAAAGTTCCTGGCAGATCTGAGGCTGAGGGCAGTGACCCAGCTGGACTGCCGCTGGTGCCCACATGTGCACTAGCTGCTGTAAGTACAGTACTATCTTTCTCAGAATTGGGACTATCTGGGATGTGAAAATCCTGCCTACCAAGGGCCTCAAGAGAAGAACTTCCCTAAAGATTCAGCAACCCCAGCATGAGGATATACCTAACTTTGTCCTTAGTGGTGGCTCAGCAGTCCCTGCTTTCCAGACATTTCCTATTTGGAGAAGCCTGGGTAGGGCAAGGCTTTGATGAAAACACAGTTAGCTCCAGAGAAGCCTCCGTGTGCTTCTTTTTGAGCCTACAATGGAACCTTCTCCATGTTTCTCATGTTTTGAGCCTTTTGAACCAACCAAGATTCTGCGTGATTTGCATGTTAGACCAACCACCCCCCTTAATTTTCCAGTGAGTTCTAGAGGTCTTCCCTTTTCCTATAGCAAACATTAAAAAGAACAGGTTAAGAGTGAGTAGAACTGTTGGGAGTAGAGTTATATATAAATAATAGGTCATCTCTTTGGGAGACAGGTGACACAAAGGCCAAATACTCCCTCAGTAATAACATCACCTTTCTGTCTTATTTGGAGTGAGAGCCTAGCCATGCAAAAGGACCATTTCCAGAAAACCATTGTTGAAAAATTTAGCTGTCACTGGCCCGTTCCCCACAGCATGCCAATGATGATAGCTAGTTGACCTTTTGAAAGACACTGGAAGTGTGGCCTTGAGGAGATGGTAATATCAGGTGGATTTGGAAAAAGAGAGACAGCACAGCTGGTTCCCAGAGGCAAGCACTCACAGAACAGAGGGGACATGATATTAAATGAGAATCTTGGACCCTGAAGAAAAAGTGGGGAATTGGGTCTACGCAGAACCAAAGGTTTCTTTAATGTAATTTTTTAAACCTACATTTCCATTTGCCAGCTTGGGGTGTATATAGGCACAGGGGAGAGTGTCACCTTGATGTTTATGCTGACGTTTAGATTTAAAGACAATATCTACACACACCAATATTTCACAGAGCCTATGCATTTTTCATCTTTGCCAGTGAAGGAATAAATAAGGCATTCTTTTTAAAGGAAACATATTGCACAATATCACATTCTTGTGAACAATTTTATGGCATGAGAAATATATTATTTCATGCAGTATAAGAAAGTCAGGAATACACTGAAAAAACAAAGAGGGCAAAGGGAAGAGAAAATTTAAGTAAGCAGGGTGAATATAAAGGGATCTGTGAGAAAATAGACCCTCAAAACAAAAAGCTGGCTTCATCATATTGACATGTGTGATGCCAGACTGTCAACTAAGCCAACCATGCTTTGGATATGGGCTTGGGAGAATTTAAAATAAATGTATCAAAGCACATAAAGCATTCTCCATGCTCTCCTTACCTAGGAATGCTGCCATGTTCATGACTTGACTAAATACACAGCTTGCAGGAGGTTCATTACCTGCAATACTTGAAAAATATGAAGTGTTTTATTATTACTATATAAAAATCTATAACCTTCTGCAATGGACTGAATGTTTGCCCCATCAAAATGCATATGTTGAAATGCTGACTCCAATGTGATGGTATTAAGAGGAGGGGCCTTTGGGAGGGAAATAGACCATGAGGGTGCAGCCCTCCTGAATGGGATTAATGCCTTATAAAAGGGACCCCAGAGAGCTCCCTCACCCTTCCTACTGAGAGGATGCAATGAGAATTCAGCGGTCTAACCCAGAAGAGGGCCCTCCCTCATCAGAACCTGACCAGGCTGCTGGCACCCTGATCTTAGGCTGCCAACTTCCAAAACTGTTAGAAATGAACTTGTTTATAAGCCACCCAGTCTGTGTGATAACTTTGTTATAGTAGACCGAATTAAGACAGCACCCCCACCCCAGTGTTTCCTAAGATCCAACTGATCAGAACAAAGTTATCAAGTTACCTTATGTATGGTGCATGCTTCACACCAGGTTTCCTGGATAACAAAAAACACAGCTCAGGTTAAAGCACAATTATTTAACCTCACCAGTAGCAAAGATTTTGTTGTGTTTGTTGATGAACAATGAATTACCCAGAGATAAACCCTACCTTTCAGCTGAGTTTAATGGGAAAATTTTGTCATCTTCTACAGCTATAAAGTATCTAAGAAAAAAGAACAGTAAAAGTTTGAACAACACAGAAATTTTTTAAAAAGACTCATTTTCCAGTTTTATTAGACTAACCACATTAAATTATATTCATTGTTTTTCTGAGAAAACACTTTTATTATAATGCTTTATCTATAGATCACTTAGCTCTTTGAAATTTAAATATCATTATTAATAATATTTTCTTTAAAATTTCAAAACATCCCCCAGATTAATGACAATCATTATAATTCAGAAACTGGAAAACAAAGAAATAAGACCTTGTAACTCTGGGCAGACTACAACTAGAATTCACATTTTCTAGATTTCAGGAATGTGTGTCCATTTGTCCTAATGAACTGCAAGGGACTAAAATTATTGTCTAGGAGTGAAATAAGCTAGTACTTGAAATAAGCAAGCATGGGAGTATGTTGTGATAAGCCAAGACTTCAATGTAATGATACTCATTTTCTAAATATACCAGACCTAGTCACAGAAAAAAAACTGGACTATGAACTAGACTGTGAATGAAGCATGTTAGTGTCAAATTAGCAAATCTTGCAAATAATGAATCCATATCACCAGTTTATAGAATGTTCATTACTGGAAGAACACAGGAACACAAAATAAATCCAGTGTTCTTCATTACTTCCTTTGCATAACTGATTACCATTGTTGTGTACAATGGGTAATAGATAAAGGGCAAGGTTGCATTAGTAAACAGTATTTTGAAATGTTTGTAAATACATTCATATGGGCATGCCACATACTGCCACAACTTTACATTTCTATCTACATTGCACAGAGTCCTTAAATAACTAAATAAGAGAATACTCACACTATCCACAATCCAGCTGAAGTAAACAGAGTAAACACAAGAGGTAAAAACATCCATACACTGCATTTCTTCCCATCCATGCCTGTAGGACTGAAATAAATGAACAGGTATTAATAACTAATGCAAAAACTCACCTCATTCTTTCAAGACAGAAAAGTTTACTTCAACTGGACAGAAAATGTATTTTATGAAAACATGATTCAAATCAGTGTCATTACTGCCACCTACAAATACGGGAAACCCCTTGAGCAGTTAACAGGGATGATGGTTACCTAGCATTATTTTAAATATACTTAGTTAAGAACTGGTGGAAAATCTCTCATGAAGACATTTATCTTTATACAAGCATTAGGGTGTTTAAGAAAGAAGAGAAGGGTTTGGCATAGGACTTTCAGAAGAGCCAGGTACCAAAGGCATACCCCAACCAACGTTGAGTGCTGTTATTAACATTTATGGATCTATGGATCCGGCATGTACATATGTCCGCAGCTTAGCAGACAAGAGTGTTAGAAACAAATCGTTACTAAACAGGCAGTGCAGAAGGAAATGGCAAATGCTTTGCAAATCATCACGTTATTGAGCAACAATCCTCAGAAGACTCTAAAGATGAATGCTCTGGAAAATAATGCATTGTGTATAACTTTAAATCAGTTCCAACAAACACAACAAAAAAAGTACAGATGTCAGGCATCTGGGATGTTATTTTTGAAAGCAAAAAATATATGAATGAAAAATTCCCCCAAAAAATGAAGTGCAAAACAGAAGCTTCAGAAGTGTCTATGAAAAATTACTGGTATACAATAGAAAGTAATAACTAATTAACACTTTACTTCTTGGCCCCAAACCATCAGACAAAATCTATTTGAGACACTGGATGCCAACAATCCCCAAGACAAAAAAACGTGTTCCAAGGACCTGAAGTGCCCTTGTGATGCGCACAGGGGACCTGCCCAACAAGGCAATGGGATGAACACGGGCCTCCAAGGAGCTCTCCCTGCTCATAGTTTGGGTTTTCCAATGAACTGCAGCAAGTCGTTCTCAGGTTGGAACCAGCAGTGCCACCTTTCTGAGCACCTCCATAATACCTGCTTTCATGTTCGGAGACTCCTTGGACCTTCTAAGTATTGAGACCAGAGAATGTGGCCCTCCCTTGAGGTTGGTGACCTGCAAGGTGTCAGAAAGGTCTTGATTCTCAGATCTGACCTACCTGATTAGGTAGGTCTTTCAGGCCACAGGACAGATACCTGGACCTAATAATGTGTCTGTGAACAGTCATGCTATAGTCTAAACACCTTTCTGGGTACGTCTTCCTGGTATAGTCTAAATGAAAGAATCTAGGAGATGAAAACATTAGAGCCACTTTCAATTGGTTTAACCTCATCTAATCCAATCCAATCTAGTCACAAGTATCAACACTCTATTTTGTGCCAGCTACTATACCAGAGGGTGGAAATAACTGAGGTCAGGCCTAATGAATACAACTATTTATATGTAGTAATCTATGCAATGTATAAAAGCTTTTCTACGAACCATGGTGCATGACTATCCAGTTTATATAATGTGGAAGAATGATGAACATTTTAAGCATATTCAATATGGCTAGTCAGTGTCTATTCATTTACTATAGCCAGAAAATTGTGGGCATATAATAAAGTTATCAATTATGCTAACAAAAATAATTCCATTAGTAGCCAGGATGTAGAGGGAGTACAGAAAAAGGGACTGTTGATTGAGCATGTAAACCAATTATTCTAGATCTACATCTGAAATAGGATTTTTCAACAGGATGAGTACAGGTGAAATGGCTGCACTGGAATAAGAGTTAGGAGATCTAGTTCTCAGCTTCAGCTTTGCTAGTTGTTGGCTCTCTGGGCCTGGGCCAGTGACTTATCTGAAACACCATTTCTCCATCTTACTGTACGAAGACTGAATTCTAAGACAGGGAGAAGGACCCCAAAGATGAGGCCTCAGAGCATGGGAGAACCTTGGAGGTCAGCCCAGGTCCAGCGTCTCATAGTTCTGCAATAACAGAATGCTCCAATGTTCCCAGAATTAGCAGTCTCATAATAATTCAGGTCTATAAATCA